TCACGCATCAATCATTTTTTCATTAATTTTCATAGACAGCTTGTCAGACTAATTGGGCAGAAGGATTAAAGGCTCAAGGGTGTCTTAGCCGGTTTTAAGATTGGAATGATGCGAGCAAACTTCCAAGAATCGGGTACAATTTCTTGCATCCATAGATTATTGTAAATATCTAAGAGATTATTTGTGTCTGTTGGCCCAAAGTTCTTCAGCATATTATACGTAATGCCATCCGGCACAGAGGGTGATTTTTGACGACATGATGCTATAGCACATTGCAGCTCACTTAACGTAAATACAGGGTCTAGTTGGGGATGCTGGGCCCAAAAGCAAAAATTTTCTTGCTGGCTAATGGGACAGAATGATCAAACAAGGCATATTGTAATGCGGTGGGCCTACTGATAAGTTGATAAAATTCATCTGCTGCCACAACTTCCCATTTGTCCAAGGCTACAGAAAGAGTACGAAATGGGAAGCTCTGTGACACAGGGCCACTAAATGCTCGAATTACAAGTGAAATTCTTGGAACAGGTGTAAGGGAAGATAGCGGGCCACAACAATCACGGCAGCGTCGTTTACCTTAAATTTTCTAGTCGTGTGTGCATTACACTGTGGATTTTCTGTGCATTTTTGTATGCTTCTAAATTTCCGCTGCATTGATATGCCCTTTCTGAACGTCGTGTAATGGCTCTTGGATGTTCATACCCTCCGTCGACTGCAGCATAGTTTTTGGGAATCGGGACTTTTTTCTTACATTTATTTGCATTATCTTGTAGAAATTCAGTAAAGCTTTCAACTGTCGTAAGGTCACTATTTTGGTTTGTTACGCGGTACTGAAAAGCTTTCAAGTTCGTCAGTTTGCTGAAGCGCCTGATGTCATTTCGCAAGTAGGGGCAATTTAAAAGAATGGGAAAAAAATCACTTTCACGTGTTTCTACATCCGTTGTCCATTACACGTGTAAAGACTTAGGCTTCAGTTAATTTACGTCTCCTGAAAATGTCGCCGCATAAGAACATAGCCGCCACATTCTATGTTTAAAAGATGAGCAAGAGAGCCGTACTTTGAGCAACTAAAGGTTGTTTTTTTTTACTAAACGCTGAATTTCAGATAAAGACGGAAGTTTGAAGGTATTCAGAAATCTTGCGCATGGCGACACATCGTTTTCAACAAGTTCTCATATCTTGGAGCTTCTTTACTGTTTTGTATTTAATTACTGCTGTCGATGGCTTTGTGTATTTTCATATGTGGCTCAATATAGGCATCAGTTTGCATTTAAACATATTATCTAAAATATAATTTCAAGCGCACTGTAAGGCAAACTACTTCGTTAACTAATCAAAGCCCCCACCCCCTTCATATACCCCCTCTTTCTTGGAAATTTTCACTGTTATATACTCTGTTTCTATTTCTTGATCAAATTCCTGCTTTCGTCAATAACGAAACTTTCTTCATTCATGAGGACTTTTGCTTTGGCACTTCATGCACTATTGTTATTTTTAATGTCACATTGCCTTCTATACCACTTGCGCTGATGTCGCTGAAGGCAGTCTCCGAATAACGGAGCTTCCTGCTGGTACGGGCGTCGTAATCGATTGAACAAACAAAATATATTTTTTAAAAAACTTTGCTGCTATTGTTACGAATATTGGTGACGTGCAGTTTCTGTTCTTTTTTTAAGGGTGTTTCGGTGCGTGAAAGCAGTTTCAGTGGTCAAAGGCACGCATTCCCTGAGCCTTAACAATTCCATGCATCTGCATAGGGTTGTCCACGTCACCACGTGTACCCCGCCGCCGTGTTCCTTCGAGCTCGCCATCGCTCATCTGGTTCCAGCGCGTACCTCACCCGAATGTTTCGCGCGGTGGTGAAGGCTTCTTTTATTTTAAGGACACCCATGGCTACTTGGCACCAGTGTCAATAAAAACGTTCCAGGACATGCTGCGCAGCGTATGTGCTGAGCTTGCTGACGGCTGTACAGGATGTTGTCATACTCTTTCGTGCATTCGGAGGGCTTCTCATGCACGTACATTAAATTAGTAAACCATTCACATTAAGTGATGTACTGCTTCTGCTTGCCCTAACCGAGTAAAGGGTTCGGGTGAACAACGCTTGCTCGCTCTGCGAAACCTTGAAGTTAACTCGGAGCGGACAATTTTTTTGTATATTTCTTGCCCTTGCTCTCAACGCACATGCACACGCAGCTACGGATAAAGTTCGTGTTAATCGCTGCTATTGCATCGAGCGTTGAATAAAACTGTGCTGACATTCGATGTGCTAACTTCGCCCCCTTCTCAATCCCAGCGCAGTCAGATTCATTGAAAATTGTCCTGCGTCCTGAGCCAAGAATGACGGCAAGATTGACATACTTCTCGTTTGCCTTTCGTTTTTGCGCTATACCACCTTCTTTGATTGTTTCGTTACTTTGCATAGCAGTAAATTTGCTTTTGCAGCAGGAGACCAATTTACCTCTACCGAATCACGCCCAACGGGCAAGTGTGTAACCACCTGCTTCGAAGCCCCCCCCCCCCCTTTTCAAAAAAAAATGATTGCAGATTCGTGTTTAGGTTGGATGAATGACGTCACGCTTTTTCTCTTCTCGTATTTTTCTCCCGATCTAACGTTCGCTCGCGCTTCACAGAAAAAACTGGTCTACCGGTACCACAGCCCTTATTCAACGCGCTTTGTTGTATTTGTATACCTCGTAAATTCCTGAGAATATTACATGGTTACTGCATAGCGGCACCTCGTCAGTATGATCGATTCTAAAATTTAGTTTTTTTTTTAGTTTTCCCTCAGTCGCTTGACTGATAGTCTCGTTTCTTTAGTTCAGGAAAGCAGTGTCTAGTTTGTGGGGTGCACGTTAAAGAAACCCAGGTGGTCTAAATTTCCGAAGCCCTCCACTACGGCGTCTCTCATAATCATATAGTGGTTTTGGGACGTTAAAGCCCACATATCAATCAGTGTCTAGTTTGTGTGTGCGCAACTCGCAGCCTATTTCCCCTGTAAAACTGGTAAGTCACACATTTGAAAGTTTTGATTAGAAGTCTCATGTTTTGAAGCAGTAGGCCTTTTGGACACCTGAACATTGGCCGCTGTAGTTTCCTTCCCTGACGCCACTCAAAACATATATGATGAACCAGTTTTTTTTAGATAGTGTCCCATTATTCGTAGCACTACCGCTATGCATATGCCGGTTAATTAAGCTCTGTTCTCGATAAGCTTACCATTCCAAACAAGAAACGACTGCCGTATATTGTGACAACCATGCGTCGACAAGCGTATCTCTTTCTCGAAACACATTCTTGATGCATCACATCCTGGTGCATCCACATATTGGTATACCTTGACGATCATCACTGGTTTTTTTCTGCGCATTTCTCCTGGCTTTTCTTTCAATTACGTGTATGGAAATAAGTTCCTGTTTAGATATTATATACCTTGGTATTGATATGTGTGTTTCGTTTCCTCGAAGAAACATTCACGGGCGCTAATATACATGAGCATTTGCGCACGCGCCCCACACGTCTCTATTCATCCACGTTCCCGTGAGCCTCACCATGCGGGCTTGTCAGGCCTCGTTTGGGGACGACCGTTGATTTGTGCCGCCCGCATGGATCGAGCGCAGCGCGAAAGCTGATGCATTTTGCGCAGACCGAGCACGTATGAATACAGTCGAAAGACACCGCATATATGCCATGCGTGGGATGTTTGACGAATGCGTGTTGGTATAGCGGGGAGGAAAAAAACTAATGTTGAAGCCTTGCTAGTTCTTCGGCACCTCAAGAATGGCGGCGGCAACTTGTACTGACACGCATAAACGGAAGCAGATGGACGTATATGTATAGGCAATAGCTTCAAGAGTTGATGCGTCATGGAAACACAAAGAATGCACAAAGTAATAGTTTTGTTTTCCAATCTTCAAAAAGTAAGCTTTAATAGCGGTCTTATAAACTTGCCTTTTAATATGCAGCATCAAACTCGCCTAGTCTTGCAGCTTGTAAGTAATGGTGTTTCGGTTTTAATCTTCCAAACTGTGATGACTCCCTGTGCTCCCTTTAGCGTGGCATGCAATTCTCATGAATAGTTCAACTTGTGATTGCTAATTGTTCATTGTTTGCTGTGACGCAAAGCATGCTTATTTGAATTTTCTCGTGGCAGTTCACGAAGGTGATTTCATTTATATTCGTATTTGATATTGCTTCTTTTAATGTGGTTTGCTTGTTTGTTCAATCTCGCATACATTTTACTCTTACTGTTTTACAAAGCCTAAATGAGTAACCGTTACCACTCGTGATGCTGAATTTTATGAAGTGCCCGTGTAAGTACAAAAACAAATGTTACGAGAGGAAAGCAAATGCACGGAAGTTAAAGCGATTTGCTTAAAACGCCTGACTTCTCAATCACTCAAATATACAAATAGTCCTCGTGGTATTTAAAATAAATCCCACTTGACAACAACGTTGTACCGTGGAACCGCACAATAATGCAGCTGCGGTAAGGTACAAAAGTACGACTGCGACTTCTCAAGGCTACCACACCCAGTGGCCATGCTTATTTCAGAGCAGAGTTTTAACTATGTTGGAAACATCAACACCAGCCTATTTTTTGTATTATTATGCTCCTCTCCTTTTTTTTCATGTCAGCGCAGAATAGCTGATTGGGTTTGATCCTCATTAGTACCGGTGTCATGAGGACACCTTTCATCGAGTTCAGGACCAATTCAGATTAAAATTACTCGACCAAGATAAACGATGATCGTGTCTACACGACCTGAACTGATTCGCGTTGAGTTCGGTGCAGAAAGAGTGCGCGCACCAAAATAAAATATATTAGCTTCGACCAACGTTAACCAGACAGTTTCAATAGTATCACCGTACAAAGAAGGAAGAGTGAGGGAGAGAGCTTCGTCGTTGTCTTTGGTTTTTCCTCTCTGTAGATTGTTTTGTTTTCAGCAATAAGACAAGTGATCCGTGTTTTGAACGAATGTCTTGTCCTTGGCTGCCAGGTATCACTATGGGTCTCAAGAAGGTGATCAAGTGGGCCCTGGTATGCGGCCAGCGAAAGATGCAGCCTAAGAAGTCACCCACGCACTTCGTCTGCAGCAAGATGTACAGCGACGGCAATCGTCAGACACGGTAACTATTCTCGTCCGCTCAGCGCGGGTATGCAGCCTTTGGCTTCGTCAACAGCGTATATTGTATCTTAAGTGTAGGCAAGCACGTTAAGTATATTGTTGCAAATTGCATTAGCTAGATGTTGTCATTATACAAAAGGCGTTTGTTTCACAGTGCAACCAATACTTAGTTTGACAGCCCCTACAAGTCTGCCTGTTCTAGTGGTACATAACAAAGACCACATTTTGGCTCAGGCGGCCACGGCCGGTAGCCGAACCCAAGACGTCTTGCTCAACAGCAGCACGCCTTTCAGCTGTCAGAGAGTAAACAGTAAGAGAGAGAAACGAGAAAAGAGGAAAGCAGTGAGGTTAACCAGATGCTAGTATCCGGTATGCTACCGTACACTGGGGTTGGGGAATAGAAGGTTGAAAGAGAAACGGAGAGTTAAAAAAATAAATAAGAGAAAAACACCGACACACACGCACACACAAAATCAGTCCACTCAGAGGCGTTCCGACAGGCCAGTAGTTCGTAAGAAGCCCAGTAGCGCTTGCACGGCTTTCTTCTGTGACGATGAGTCATGACGATGGCGCAGTATCCTTTCTTCTGACAGCGGCTGGTCATCTAACCTGTTTAGTTTATTAGAAAGGTGTTCTTTCCAGCTTGTATTTCGGGCAGTCACACAGTATATGTCGAATTGTTTCTTCATCTCCGCAGTGTGCACAATCGGCGGTGTCAGCCATACCTATGCGGAACGCGTACGCACGGGTAAACGCGACTCCCAACCATAGTCTGCACAGAGCAGTAGCGTCGCCTCGTCGAATTTTTGTTGGAAGCTGCATGCTTAACGTTGGATCAAGGGATCGTAATCTTGCATGCGTAAAGAGAGGCTCATTCCAAAGAGCCATCGAGCGTTGGCGAGCAAGCATGCGGAGCCTCCTAGCAGCGTCCGTTCTTGAGAGAGGTATTGACTGGTCGTTGTCTTCTGTATGGGCTGAACGGGCTGCTTGATCAGCTCGTTCGTTACCGATAATTCCACAGTGGCTTGGCAACCACTGAAATATAACGTGGTGCCCTTTCTCTGTTATGTGGTGTAGCATTTCTGCTGTTTCAAATACCAACTGCTCGTGTGGACCACGGCGTAGATTTGACAGAAGTGACTGCAGTGCCGCCTTGCAGTCGCAAAAAATCGTCCACCGTTGCGTGCTGCTTTGGTCGTTAATGAAACGCAGCGCAGCGCGAAGCGCTGCAAGCTCTGCTGCCGTTGTTGTGGTTGCATGAACTCTCCTGAATTTGATGGTTGTGGCGTGCGTTGGAATAACGACCGCCGCAGTTGAGCTGTTTGGCAGGACGGAGCCGTCGGTGTAGACGTGGGTGCAGTCTTGGTACTTCTCGTAAAGCAGAAGTAATGCGAGCTGCTTGAGGGCTGGTATTGAGAAATCACCTTTTTTCTGGATGCCTGGTATTGTCAGGTAGATGACTGGCTGTTTGAGGCACCATGGAGGAATTGAAGGTCTCGCCGCGGGCGTAAAACCAGTTGGTAGGGAGTCACCATGTGTAGTTATTGTTCGACAAAAGGAAGTATGAGGTCTATTAACTGGTAGAGAGGCTAGGTGGTGATGGGGATTCCGGCCCACATGCCTTATGTGTATCCTTAAAGCTTCAATTTCAATATGGGTCTGCACGAGGTGGTCTTTGGCTATAGCTATAGTCGCCATTGTTGAGGCACCCTGAGGCAGACCTAGACATATTCGAAGCGCCTGTGCCTGAACGCTTTGTATCATGCGTCGACTTGTTTTACTGGCGTTTGATAATGCAGGCAGACTGCATCGTAAAAAGCCAAGGAAAAGCACCCTGTACAGTCGTAACATAGCATTAGGCTGCATTCCCCAAGTCTTTCCAGCGAGAAACTTGAAAAGATGGCATATGCCTGTCAATCGCTTTTTCAAATACGACACATGAGGGCTCCATGATAAGTCTCTGTCGACTATGCCACCCAGAAATTTGTGACATCGACGATATGGTATATCTAAACCGTTAATTGACACTCTGTAATTAGACATGGGTTTGCGCGTAAATGCCAGAAGAGCGCACTTTCCGGAGGAAATTTCCAGGCCTCGATTGCGTAGATACAAAGCAGTTGAAGTAGCAGCTCTCTGTATTCTCGCTCGTAACTGCAGGCGAGTTACCGCAGATGTCCATATGCAGATGTCATCAGCGTATGTTGATAGATAAATATTGTTTGGTAGGTGCGTATGGAGGACGATTAGTGTTATATTGAATAGCACGGGGCTCAGTACACCACCCTGAGGGACGCCACGACAACTGAAATGTGTAGACGTGTTCCCAGTCTCTGTACTCACAAAATAGGATCGCATTTGGAGATAACTGCGCATCCACTTAAACATTCGGCCACCCACTCCAATCTCTTCTAGTGCGGCAAGGACGAATTCATGTGTCACGTTATCATAGGCTCCTTTGACGTCAAGGAACAGAGAGGCGCAAAGACGCTTATGGTCTTTCTCGTGTTCAACGTACGTGACTAGGTCGATGACGTTATCGATCGATGATCGACCACGTCGAAAGCCAGCCATGGCATTTGGGTAGATCTGATGATACTCCAAGTACCACTCGAGTCGGCCGAGAATCATTCTCTCCATCACTTTACCCACGCAACTGGCCAATGCGATCGGGCGATAGGGGGAGAGTACCAATGGTGATTTGCCAGGTTTCAGTAATGGTACTAGACGACTAGTTTTCCAACATAAGGGGACAGTGCCCTCTAGCCAACAATCATTATATAGCTGAAGTAGAGCTATTCTCGCGCGCTCACCCAGATGACACAGGGCTCTGTAGGAGATTCCGTCAGGTCCTGGTGCAGAGGTACGTTTGCATGAAGCGAGTGCTGCTTTGAGCTCCTGAATGGTGAACGGGAAGTCTATAGAGGAATCACGTGGTGGCGGACAACTGCTCGAAAGTGGTGAGCTGCTGATGGCTGTAGTTTGCCCTGATAATCCGGCACAGAACTCTTCAGCAACGTCCACATCTGGTCGATTTTGGTGAAGGGCTAAGGCCTTGAATGGTGACTTCTGAATGGGCGATGACCGCAAACCTCTAACCGTCGTCAATATGTGCGATAAAGGCTTACGAGGGTCGAGTGACTCGCAGAAAGTAATCCAGCGTTGGAATGCTAGCTTGTCCAACCGACGTTTGATCTTCTTCTGCATACGTCTAGCAGTCCGTAAATCTTCTATGTCCTTCGTGCGCCGGTACCTTCTTTCAGCTCGTCGTCGCAAGGCTCGAAGCCGCTCCAGCTCTATGTCGATGTCCATGAATCTTGTAGGGCATGGGATCGTACACACAGTCTCTTTTACAGGGCTCTGGATGGCCTCTTGTTAATTGGATATGTGTTCTTGGCATTGGTCTTCCATACAAGACTGAAATTTTTTCCAGTCTATACTTTTAACCATGTCGCGCACTTTAGGAGGCGACAATCCTCTGATCTTGACGTATGTTGGAATGTGATCACTCCCGTGCGTTTCTATATCCGTGAACCATTCAGTATGTTTTACTAGGCTTCGCGAAACAAAAGCCAAGTCGAGACAGCTACTGTATGTGGAGCCACGTAAAAATGTAGGACTGCCGTCGTTCAGTAACCAAAGTTGGTTGTCGGAGGCAAAAGACAACAAGCTTCTGCCCTTCATGTTGGTATTCTGACTTCCCCATAATGTATGATGAGCGTTAAAATCCCCGATGATAACACACGGGTCAGGAGTTAACGCTATGATGTCTCGTAGTCTTTTTTGATCGAAACGGCTTGATGGTGATAGGTATGCGCCAACCACCGTAATGTTGAGCCTCCTCTTTTTCACTCTTAAGCATACGTATTGGTTTCCTTCATGAGGTGGTACAGGTTGAAAGATGTAAGTGAGGTCTCGGCGAATGTACACCAGAACCTTGCTGCTTTCACTAACAGTAGACGACATAAAAGGTTCGTATCCCGAGAGTCGTATTGCACTCGATAAGTTCGGCTCACAGATGACGATTACGGGAAACATATTGACGTACACAAATTGACGAAAGTCACCAATCCGCGATCTCAGTCCCCTGGCGTTCCACTGCAGTATTGCTGCTTTACGAACCTCATCCCTGAAAGACAGTGGTGGGTTAGCCATGATCTACTCTAGGGCTGCTAGCACTGGTCTAAGCGCGTCCAGTACTTGAAGGGCACTTTTGGCTGACGGTGTATTCATGTCATTTACCAACATGCGAATGGTGTCCACTAATGATCTTAGCATCACCATCACGCGATGATCTGGCTTCCCGGCTGTTGCAGCATTTTGGGCTTGTTCTTGAGGCGGCTTCTGTTGAGGCTCAACAGGTCGTGTAGGCGGCTTGTGTTGAGGCTCAACAGATCGTCTAGGCTGAAGGAGTGGCCATTCCTTTGGAGAGAGAGATCTTCCGGCATCTTCTCTTTCAGCGCAGATGTTTACTGTGCTAGGAGCCGCGCCTGTCGATTTCACCTGAGTTTCTGACTTTGTCGTCAGATTTCGCACTGTCCTACGTGAGGACCTTCGACGATGGCGGTGCCTTCGCCTTACTTTTTGCGCAGCTTCTCTGTGAGTCGAGTTGTCTCGCACCATTTGCCTCAGAATATAAATCTCTTTCTTAATCTGAGGACAGTCCTTGGAGGAAGCGCTGTGAGCGCCTTGGCAGTTGGGGCATTTCAACGTAGTTGCATTACAGTCGTCTTCTGAGTGGTGTTCAGCGCATCGGGGGCAGACTGCGGAATTTCTGCAAACGCCCTGCACGTGGCCAATCTTCTGGCACTTGAAACACTGCATAGGCTTCGGAATAAATGGGCGAACCTGGTGACGGAAATGGCCAACCTTCACGTAAGAGGGAAGACAGTCACCTTTGAATGTTATTGTTATTCGCACACAACGAGAGTTGCCTAGGCGACCAGCATGCACAATGACGTTGTTTTCGCTCACTGGTTTTATCAGTACAGGAAGATCTTCATTGGTGATTTCAGTGTCTATGTCATAGATAACTCCTGTTACGGTGTCACCATTCGCTGGTATGATGGATCGGACTTTGATGTTTCCCAGCTCCGACACATGCTGTAGCGTGTTCAGTGCACTCGGGTTCCTCACGTCGATTGCCAAAATATTCTTACTCGTGTTTATCCTGATGTCCTTAATCTTGTTAGGCACAATGTTTTCAAGGTACAAGGACAGTGCTTGCCTGTTGAGGAAGCGTAGATTGGCAGTAGTAGTCTGTGGCACAAACAGAATGGAGTGAGGCCATCGCTGAGGCGCTGTCCTCACAGTGGCTGTACTTGATGCCGATGATGCGTTCATGATTCTTCGTTTGGCCTTGCGGTAGAGCACAGGTTCGAAGCCGTCTTCCGAGGACTCGTAGTCTGATGCAGAGTACGGCTCGGTGTCCTCGCTCTCACTTGATGGATTACCACGCTTTCTTGAAGCAATGCCCGTGGATGAACTGGTACCGGGCGGGATCTCCGGGGATTGTACATCCATGACCGCGATGTAGGGGGCTGGAGACCCCCGCTGTTGCGCTATGGAACGCAGAAAATACAGCACAGACCGCAAGATGTGTTCCACAAGAGAATCACTTCGTCCAGTAAACAGTAAAGTTCACATTAAACAGTAAACAGTAAACATTAAAGTTCACATTAAACATATAGAGCAAAAAATACACCACCTCCCGCTAAAGAGAACCATTTGTAGATGCGAAGCAGCGGGTGCTGACGCTTACGCTAATGCTTACACGCTGACGCTTGGGCTCACCGCGGCGTCGGGCATGAGAGAAACCGAGGGAGGCGCAAAGCACGCAGTTATGGACCGGTAATTCTTACTGGAACATGTCAGTCACTGCTAATGGGCAATGAGAGACAGACGGCTTCCATTGAACACAGAGACCCGCAGCCCACTTTTAGTTAACGCGCACGCTGTGATTTTTAGGGGCGAAGTTCCTTCAATAGAACCACTGCACATCGTGCGTACATGCGTGTCTCGGTCCATCCGTCCACCTTTCTGTCCATCCGCGCTTCTATTCATCCATGGGTCCGTCTGTCCATGCGTCCCTCCGTGTTTCCGTCCGTCCGTTCGTACTTGCTTCCGTCCATGCGGCCGTCAGTCCGTGCGTGTGTCCGGATGGATGGACAGTCGAACTGCTTCCGTCCATCCGTCCGACCGTCAGTCCATATTTTATGAAGCACTTAATGGTGACCGAAGGGAAAGTTACTTTTAGGGGTACATAAACTCAGTCATTTTGTAACAGGCCAGGCTTCGAAATTCCAGCCGAATTTGCACTTTAGCGCAGGTTTGGATGATTGTATACATTACTGCAGCAAATTGTTCCATTAAGTCCGCAGTTTCTCGAAAGGTACATTCTTTTGTCTTCAAGTATAAGCTCACGGCTCGATGCCGTATGCAATTACAGTATATTTGGTGGAAATAGAAGTGTAGAAGTGTTTGTATGTAATAAGTTTCTTTCTGTGATTTAAGTCTGAACAGTGAGTGTACTGCCAAGGCTCGCAACAACAACACGAACAATACAACGCTACTCCAAACAAAGCACAGGTTACCAACACAAATTTAGCTGGTCGGTCGTCCTCTTGAAATCCCGTTACTCGTAAAGTCCCCTCACCATGTACACGACTAAACAAACTCGAGTCCGATCTGCGGAAAACTATCAGATTCATTTTTTGTGACCACCACTTTTCCTCATCACAACATTGCCGTGTCTTATCAGTGAATTGCTTACCACTTCCACGAACATCTGACTAGCTTATCATGTCACACAATATTCCGCATAAACCCGTTTGACTTGCTGCCCCTATTTTTTTCGCCGGCCATTCTACGCGTGTAACCCAGCGGTCTGAACCTTTAAGAATTGTTTCCTTTTATCTTGCGATTGTAATACATTTTATTAGTCGCTCATAGTTGTCACTTGGAATAAGCTTGATCATCATTTGGGAGGACTTTCCCATGCACAGTTCGTAAACCAAGTGCGTCATTGTGTGTTTCTTGTTTTTTGTAATTATTCTTGCGATGTCTCAAACCCGAGGCAGCAGTATCTGTAAATAAAAAAGGATTATAATCAAATGATCCTGGGTATTCATTAATATCGCCAAACTAACGTCCTTACTTGTCCACTGTCCCGCAGTCGGCTTCTGGTTCTGCTAGAAGACCTGCGGCAGCTGTACGCCAGTTCGTGGGGCAATGTCATGGCTAGCCTGGAGACGTGCTTCGACGCAATGCAGGGCCGCGAGCCGGGTCTCCTGAAGAGCATGTGCTCCGTGGTGCTGCTATGGGTGCAACTGGGCGACACAGTGGCCAAGGATTTCGACCCCGACCTGTGGCATCAACCGACGCTGCAGAGCATCAACGACCTCAACGACGCCCTCCTGCGACTCTGGAAGGTTGCCATGGACAAGACGGCCGAACTCGTCTACAAGGTACGCGCAGCCTTTTTTCATTATTACTATTGCACTATATTTTTGCGCTGTACATTTTTATCGTGCTATATTACGCACTGGGGTGAAGATTCGTTACTTTTATGGAAGAAGGCTGCAGACACGTATGGTTGCAGTTTACCACAAAATGGGATGACGTCTCAGTTGTGCAATTTCCACCCAGCGTTGCCTCTCCCGTCCTGTCCACAATCTCTGACAAAGACTACAATGCGCAGCGGCTCATCCAATCGTGTTCGCCGTCTTCGTTTCCTACAGATCATTCCCGGGACGACGCCGGACGTTGCCATGGTGATCGAGAAGGAGTACCAGGCGTGTCGCCAAGAGACGTGGACGCTGTTTCAGGTGACCCCCGAGACGCTCGAGAACTACGTGGACACGCTCAAGATGTACACGAGCAACACGTCCATCTGGCATCTGGACGAGCGCAAGTTCCTCAACACGGACGCCACCTTGGTCAAGTCGCTGAGCCAGTTGAACATCGCAGCCTCCTAACCCTAGCTCTCGAGGAAGGCCCGCTAGCCGCCATTGCGGAACCGTCGCATAGATAGTGACCGACTAGACTGAAATAACGATCCAGCTAGTCCTACTAATTTAAACCTCATTGAGCAAATGCCAAAGCATGAAAAACCGACCGCATGCAAAGTAGCGAGCATGAACGCGCGCATCCTCCGTTGTCACGTATAGTGGTAACCGTCGCGGCATGCTCGTTTAATATGTTCATTGACATTGAAGATCACGAGCCATATCGATTGATTTTCTGCAAACTGCACGTTTCCTTTAACCGCTGATTAGACAGATGTTCCGTGGGAAAAGATTTGTAAAAAAATAAGAAATTGAAACCGAAAAGGTTTTTGAACCTCATATACCTGGACAAAGAAACAAGTGTGGAAAAAGTCTAGATTTAGTCATTTTTCGGGTCATTCTTAATATAATTCCTTGTGAGGCGCCATTTCGCTTGAAGATATTAAAAAACAAGAAACAAATGCAATCTAAGACTACTCGTAATAGAGATATTCTCGTGCTAGTGAGAAAAAAAAGTGTATATCACAAGGTAAAATGACTTCTTTTAGATTTTAAACTGTAGCGTTGATTTGCATGACAACGAATGATAGGTACGTGATCCTTCGTAAGTTCTCCGGGTTTTTAAAATTTTACCAAAGACTTATGGAAAGGACAACAAGCCCAAGTCACATCGACACCTTCGTGACACGCCACTTTTCGCACGACAAGTGAGACCAGTGCCGTTCTGGACCGGAACGCCGCTGGTACACCCTGTAAATAAAAACTGCCACCGAACTTCGTGATGCGCTATGCAACGCTGCCGCGTGCCGCCATATTTGTACAAAGTCGGTCGTTTCGTCCGCGTCTGTGTGTATGCATCGATCTGTGATTGTATATGTGTGGATTTTGTCTGAATGCGTAATAAAGGATACTAAACAACAAAACCTACTTTAATTTCATTTAATTTTTCTAAGTTTGCCGAAATGCACTTTAGAAAAAGACAACTTTAGAAAGATGGTCTACGGTGAAGCGCCGTCGGCGAAACAGTCCGAGAATCTCTTGCACTATCCCTTAGACCACCGAAGTTCATCGCGATAGTACAGCATTGCGGTACTTGACTGCGAACCCGAAGTTCGCACTTTCGATCCCGGATGCGGTGGTCGCATTTCAACGAAGGCGAAATGGCAGAGGCCCATGTACTGTGTGACGTGAGTGTGCGGTGAACACTGCATGGTCTTCATTTATGAATGGCGCCACTAAGGCGTGCCCGGCAATCATATCGTGGTTCTGGAACTTGCAACTCGAGACAGTAGGATTTGGACCACTTGAAGTGGAGGGGTTCAGTGCAATGCATTCAAGAGTGGAATACCCCGTCAGAATCCGACGAGCCGTTTGGCTCGTCGTGCTCGTTTAGTACTTGACTGACCTTTTCTGACGTTCGGAACTTCTTCGACCAACCGCACAATCTTCTGAGCCTTCACTTGTTATTCCACTACAGTCAGTAGGCACTCGAACAGTGGCGTAGACAGGTGGCGGCACATTGTGTCCGTGCCCACTCACCCGATTTTTTGGGATTTTTTTTATTCACCAATGGCACACAGAGTACAAAAATTAGGGCACTTTGAAGCTTCGCCTTTAAGAGTTCAATGTGATAGCGATATCTTGTTCCTAGTACGTACTTCACACTTTAATGCATTAAACATTCTTTAACTTGCTATACACCCACTGCATGGTTTAAGGGAATAGGAGCAGTAGCGTGTGTGCCTTTTGTGGAGAGTGACCGGCTTGAAGGGGCACTGCAACACTGTTTGAGAATGGTCAGGAAACGCTGCCGATCAGTAGTAGTGGCTCCCGACAACACGAGAGGCAAATATTGTAGCGCAGCACGTGTAGGCGTATCAGCCGGGGGGGGGGGGGGGGGGGCGTTAGCCCTTCTACTGATAAAAGTTGGAGGGGGGTGGCTGACCCCCCCCCCTTTTTTTAATAGTGGTCACTCTTGCTGCGCGCTGGGAAACCCAAGAAGTAAGGTGAAGTTTTCCGTCACAACATTAATCACTCAATTATGTCCTTACGGGAGAATGAAAATGTTTCCAGGCAATGTTACAACATAGTGAAATTTTGCCAACATGTCCTCTGTGATGATTTTTCTTGTGCGCTCTTTGCGGTGCACGTCGCCCATGCGACGCCGTCTTTGCGTCTTGTGCTGCAGTATTGCAGAGCAGGTAAGCGCTGAACATGGGCCCTCTAATATTAAATCACTTGTTCACGCTCTTATTAAATGCGAAGCATTTCTTAGCGAACTTCGGCGACTTTGAGTCTATCTATCTATCTATCTATCTATCTATCTATCTATCTATCTATCTATCTATCTATCTATCTATCTATCTATCTATCTAGCCACCTACGAATTTTAGCTTTCCTGGCCGTTTCGATAATGGTATCGATGCCAAACTTGGTACGGCATAACATGACTGTATGAAAAACATGTCGCATTTCGAGCCAGTTGCCGTCGGGCCGTGCCAATGGACGCTGGTCGCGCCGGTAGTGCCTGGCGTCAAACTATGGAGTGCTCGCGTTTTGCCAGCGCGTCATCACTGTGCCCAGCGTGCGCGCGCGTCAAGCTATGTTCACACTATGGTCGTAACGTGCGTAACAGCTCGTTCGTCGTATCGAACGCAACGGCTATAAAAAGCGTTACCGCAGTTATGCCGATACCTTTGTTCACATTTACAGGTACGTACATTACGATTTTTACGATAGGCGAATCATATTTGTCGCTGTAGAATCGACGTCACTAGCAGCCCAATATGGCTCCCATCAACACGCGAGTGCTGGCCGAGTTGGAAGAAATTCACGCTCAAAACGAGCTTATAGTCGTGTATTCAATCGCCCAAAGATGGCGAAGGCGACAGAGAAGAGTTTGGGTGCGCCAAGTATTCCTCGACAGGGCCGTGGATGGCGACTTTCACAACCTTCTCGTCAAGCTCCGACTTGGAGACGCTGCGATGTTTCATAATTTTATGCGCATGTCGCCCCAGCAGTTCGACTTCCTTGAGAACTTAGTGAGACCACTCATGGCGAAGTAGCACTTCTTGCGCCGGCAGCTACCGCCATCGCCTCCGCGATGCTGCTGCAGCCGGGAGGACGGAAGTCCCGTCAGGTCTCGTGACCGGTTGTTGAAAACCGAAAGCTGATCGATCATTGGCTGTGTCGTAACGGTCGTAGTATCGCAGTCGTAAAAGTTGCCTAGCCTTTAACACTCTCACCCACGATTTATGCGTTCGTTGCGAACGTTGGTACCTTTACGTTCACAGTCTGAACTAGACGCATACGCTTGTTGTGCTTCCGCTTATGCGTGTTATGAAAAATTGACGCCTTACGACCGTAGTGTGAACATAGCGTCACGCTACATTAGAGTATATTGGGCCCTTCATGATGCACTCGTGGCTGTTTTGCCAGCTCCACATACACCAAATTTGGTGTTGCGGGACGTCAATCGATGAAAGTATATGACTGGTGCAAACATGATAATTCTGACACGCGTGTTATGTAAGAACATGAGAACATACCACGCTCATAGCGTGCTCTCGGCCGTTTCGTCAGCTCCACATATACTAAATTTGGTATCACGTGACGTGAATTGATTACGAAGCTGAACGACACATTCAAACATGTTAATCATGACACGGAAGTCATGTAGGTCATCATTTAAATCCACCTTGTAACGTTATGCCGATTTTAAAATGACATATCAACCTTCCTCATTTCTGTTTCGCATATCATCGATTCCCACTGTATGTGGGATCTGCCAATTTTTCCTGCTGTGACTTGTTGTGACTTGTTGATGAAGTTACAGATGGAAACGAGCAAACTTATTGAAGACCGGTCAAAGCATTTGCTGCTTCGGAAAAATAATTTTCTTCAAAAAGGTTATGTCGTCACCGCTGCTCTATCGAAACTGTTGCGAGCCGATTAGTGTGACGAATTGTTATGGACGCGGAAATCTTGGGAGGCTTTGCGGAAATTGGTCTAAGGGCGCCATTCCCCAGTTAAATTGTGATTCAACTTCATGAGGCGAGTCATGTCACCTCTGTGTATGCAAATTCATATCAAAGTGCGAGCGCAAGGATGAAGATATATATCCCGGCGGACGAGTGAGATATGTTCGCCCCCACCCCCAACCGCGATAGAGTTGGTACGCCACTGGCAGCACGTGGCCTAGAATCCACCATACATTATCAATGTCAGCAAAAAGAGCTTTTTTCTTCTCTGAACAAATCACGAAAAAAAAGCCCAGTAAGCCCATCTATCAGCCATTGGCTGATTTGAACATGGCGCGCTCGGTTGTTACAGAGGTTACCGCGAGAGGCCGTCACTTGTCCACGCGTGCGCACGTGGTCGCACGGAAAAAGCTGCGTATTCGAAGAAAAAAAATACTCAAGGTCACGAGGCGCGCGTGACGTTTTTCGTTAGCCCCTGCCATCCCTCCCTGCTCAGCTTCCAGCGCTTTCGTCGGGACGAGAGAAGAGATAATGTGATTTCGGCGAGTGGCAAATATTTGTAACTCCGCTCGTACTGGACGAGTTCTTAAAATTTTTGCGGTGTTCAATTTGTGAGGTAATACGCTTTTCCAGTGAATTAATCCCACGGTTGCTCAAAAAAGGTGTTTGAGGGCCACTTTAAAACCACGAAGCCATTATTCGCAAATATTCTCTCGGCCTCAGGCTGGCGTGGCTGCGGCCAGCAACTACGACTCTGTAGTTCCTTAGGACCTAAATAAAGTTTGATGACTGACTGACTGTTGCCCGCTGGCAATGAGTGCGTGTACGACGCAATTTTACTGCAATATTTCAATTTGCATTGTGAGGCATGTATACAGGACTCGTGTGTTTGTAAGGCATGAAAGCTACTTTCTCTCCATTTTAAGCAGTGGAAATTCATTTCCCTGCATTCACAAGCAGACACGTGGCCGTATGATAGAACATCCGCCTGCTACGCAAACGACCCGGGCTCGATCCGCACACAAACTCAAACAACGGTGGTTCGGTCCCAACTCTGAATTAGGATTCTTTTATCATTTATTTCATTCGCATTGGTCTGGATTTTTGGTCACGCATAAGATGACATTTTTTTTGCTCCCAACCAATGACACCGACGCCGGAGTTTTTGTGGGACTAGCTCTTTAACGCTGTCGCGTTAAAATGACACTTGACCGCATCTGCCTGTCTTCTTTCCATCCGCGGTGCATCCCGCCTTGAGGTCTGCCTACGCCTATATACCACCCAATCAACCAGCGCCGCTCCGCGGAAGCTTGCTTGTCCCTCTACAAGTGGCTCGTACCCACTACGAAAGATTGGCCATTTTCACCGCTGGTTAAAATAAGAAAGAAGTGTAACGTTTAGATGCTGGAAAATTTATTAATCGACTGTCTCAATATTATATAGGTATTCCTCGAAGGATGATATAAGCATTGCATAAAATCTGTGGCGACAGAAGATTGTCGTCGTCTTCTTTTCCACCACTGCCGTGGTTTCACGCTTTCGCAAATGCGCAACTTTCCAAGAAAGACAGCAACGTCTTAAGACATGGTTGAGAGATCACGTGAGATTTTTGTTTTAGTTTCGTGTCGTCCTTGCACCCTTCGTTCAACGCCGCGTTTCTATGAGACATCTTAAGGCTTTTGCCATCGTAAATGTGAGAGGCCTTCCTGAAAAAAAAAGAAAAGTCTGCAAACAATTTTGTAATAATTAACAGCGCGCGTGTGCTGCTGATATTGTGCGACCAAATGACCGGGCTATAGATTACGAGATCTCCTGAGAAAGACTGGTTCGAATCAACATCTGCCGTAGGTGACATTTGCAGACTGACGGCTACATACCCATGAAGTCATCTTGAAAATAAAAACCGCTATACAGAAGGCCGAGGACACGCAAACCAACTAAATA